AGGGTCTCACTACTAGATCAGACTCATAGTGATCTGCCTGTTTACAGCCTCCCAAGAACTGGGATTACAGGCGTGCACCACAATGCCCAGTCTCAATTGCCGTCTCAGCATGCCTGGGGATTGAAACCCCAGCCCCTGTGCCTGCTTGCAGGTGCTTTGATCCACTGAGTTATTTGGCCGGCCTTCAAAGTGTTAATACTGACAGTTTGGTTCCTTACCTTGTTTTCCCTCTAGTATTCCCAAAGTGGGTCTTCTCATTCTAACATTACTGTTTACCAGTTGGGTTGCTTGATTAGCACTCCTGAGGCCCCTACAACATCATATGTGAAAGTGTTCCCCTTGTACTTCTTTGTTGTGATTGTTGGTGTGACAAGACTCTGTGTTTCTGAGTAGGAGGCTAGCAGTTGAAGAGGCACAAATGGTGGAAACACTTTCAGGCCAAGAATTTTATTCTAATTTTAGTGGGGAATCAATCAGCTTTTACAGTTCTTTAATCCAGTTTTCTTGACCTTTAGTTTCTCAAAATTCCTTCCTGGTTTTGGTAACAGTTTGCCTTTTAGTCTCTGTTTGTAGAGACTTTTGTAGTTGTGAGAAGGTGGCTTTTGGTGGTTTATAGGTGTTTTAGTGAGAAACTGGGAGATGCTTCTTAATGGATTGCTAATGGAGGCTTTGTCTCTCTCTCTCTCTCTCTCTCTCTCTCTCTCTCTCTCTCTCTCTTTCTCTGTGTGTATGTGTGTGTGTGTGTGTGTGTGTGTGTGTGTGTGTTTCTGGAGACTGAACCTGCAACCTCATGTGCTAGGCACTTTACCACTAAACTACATGCACAGCCATTTTGTTTTTTTGATGGGGTCTTGCTAAGTTCCTCAGGTCTGCCTTGAACTTGTGATTTTCTTGCTCCAGCCTCCAAAATAGCTGGGATTACAGGGATGTCCCTCATGCTTCGGTAGATTAAGCCACTATTCCTTCCAATATTCATCCTACAATCTTCCCATGGAATGGCACCTAGAGCCACAGAGACTTAGTAGGCACTGAGGTTTCTTTCACTCAGCACGACCAGAGAATGTGTGAAGGCAGAGTCACTCATATTGGGCCCTGAAAGTAAAGGTTCCATAGGTAAACTTTTGGTAAGATGCCATTTAGACAGATAGCTTGGTAAGAGGCAGAGACTGGGAAAGAAAATGCTCAATCAACTTTGAGAAATAGCAGAGAGGTAACTGGAACCAGCTTGGTGTTATAAAGACACGTTTTAAAATCGAGGGGCAAGATAATATGTAGGAGAGATGAGGGGGAGGCAAGAGTTGTAGAATCTTCCAGGCTGTCTTCAAAAGTTGTCTAAATCCAGGAAAGTATCAGGGTACCTCACCATGTGTTCGGGCTTCTCTGGGGCATATCTTGCCCAAGCCTGGGAGGTTAAGAGCCTATGAGATTCCCCTGTTCAACACCTTTTTGCTCTAGTGAGTAAGTTTTCTAAGGGCTTGTGGTGGTTTGAGAACTCTGAAAGCATTTTCATGCAAAATGACATAGGGAAGAAGTCCACTGACATTCGTCTGCAAAGAAAGGAAGAAGGGAAGCTAATGTTTAAAAAAATTGGCCAACTTGGTCTAGGTACCTTCACATGTGATCTTAATTCTCCTATAAACATTTGGAGGTATGTTCACCCATGTTACAGGTGAGAAAACAACTAACTTAGAAACAATTTAGAAAAATAAAGATCTAATTCAAGTTAGAATATAAAAATCAAGCTCTTGCCATTTTTTGCCTCCTAGAGAAAGAGAGTGGTGGGAAGTTGATGGTAGATGCATGTGCCATACGTGGACCTGGGGCAGCACTGGCAGCATGGGGGAAGTCGAGGTGTGCCGAGCAAGGACTCTCCTATTCAGGTACAAAGTTTATCTTTACAGTCATGTTTGAACACTTGTTTGGGCTTCAAATCCCGTCTCTCCATGTCCCTGTGGTGGACTTCAGTGAGGTTAATTAGCGTCACCAAAACTCTACTTTCTCCTCCTTTGTAAAATGAAACATTAAATGTGTCCATTTCAGAGGGTTATTATGAAGGTTAGCTTGATAATGTAAATAAATTGCTTTGAAAAGATAATGCTTTTTTTCTGTATTTTTTTAGGAAAGGATTTACAGGGTGCTCAAGGGCTCACTACTAGATCAGACTTGTAGTGATTCTCCTGTTTACAGCCTCCCAAGTGTTGGGATTACAGGCTCACACCACCACACCCAGTCTCATTTGCTGTCTCAGCATGCCCTGGAGTCAGGGCCAGCACAGCAGGCCCAGGGATTGAACCCCCAACCCCTGTGCCTGCTTGCAGGTGCTTTAATCCACTGAGCTATTTGGCTGGTCCAATGCTTGGATTTTTATTAAATTTGGGTAGTAATGAGCAGAATCTAGCATAACTCTCCCCTTTTGCTTCTTCAAAACATCTCTTTTTAGGCGATTGCCACAAATACTTGAAAATTGTTTTTACCAAGGCTAATACTTTCAAATCAATAGATATAATCTACACATTTGTCACCAACAAAAAGTACATCCTTCTTGATAACCTATTTGTCTTAAAGTTTCCCTTTATTATGGCAAATCCATTTCCCCTGAACCCTAA